CTGGCAGTAACAGCATAGAAAATACTGGGATGCCCCATGGCATCATGGCTGGGAAAAAAAAATTACTGTATAAAATGCCAACGACAAGGTCTTTACTTGTCTATAAGGCTCTGGGCTGAGGTGTCGCCTAGCCAATTTGGTATAACTAGGTGTTGTTGTTACAGTGGCGGAAGGGGGAAGGCATTTATGCAGCAAAAAGAGCTTTAAAAGAAAAGCCCTCTTCCTTTCACCTCAATCCATAAATCAAAGCAAAGAGGAGAACATGAACAAGAATTGGCAGTTGCTATTAATACGTTGGTTTCCCCCCAGAGATAACTGCACAGGGCCATATTTAAGAACGGTATATAATATTAGGCAATTAAAGAAAGCAGTCCATACTCTATCTGTTGGGCAAGTAACAAAACATCCTTAACTGTGAGCAAAATGCAAGAAGGGGTGTTTTTAAAGTATGTTATTGTCTTTCCTCACATGTGAGGCGGGGGGGTGTCTTATTGTCTGATGAGGGGCTGGAGGTTGCATGCTTGACCCTGCAGTCTTCTCCCCGCCCCCCGTTATTTTGCATTCTAATGCTATACTTGCATGTAGTACATCACAATTACTCTCTCTGTGGGATTGTAGGTGAAAACATTTTAAGAAGAAATAGGAAATTGAGAAAGATGTGTATATGGTTGGGAACTGAAGGTGAGGAGAGGAACAATGCCATGGACCATATCTCAAGACTACAAGTATCTTGTGATTGTGTGATTTCCCATATGCATGAGTCCGATCCAGATCCAATGTAATCTGTGGCCCAATTGCAGCTGGAATCCAATACGGGAATGACTTTCAGTTAGCCTCATATCTTAGGAATTTGTCCGTACCCACCTATCGGCATTTATTTACCAAAGCTAGATTAAATGTATTTCCATCGGAAGTTCTTAATGGTAGGCTGAGAAGCATCCCCTACCAGAATAGGCTTTGTTTATGTTCCCAGGGCGTCGATTGCATGAGCCATATCCTACTCCATTGTGGGCAGTATGAGCAAGCAAGGGATCAACTGATCAAACCCTTACTAGCAAATTTGCCGGGAAAATCTGAAGCCTCCCATATTAAATACCTTCTGGAGGATAGGTCAAATGATATTACACTGACCGTGGCAAAGTTTCTTTCGGAGGTTGCAAGAAACAAAAACCATCACGCTCTAGACATAACAAAATGACTACCTCGGTCTCTTTTGCCTGTTGTTTCGTTCTTTTAACTATATCTTGTTTTGAAACTGTTTTGTGGGTCTATGGACCGCAATAAAGATATTTGATTTGATATGCATGAGTCTTGTTTATATGGTCTGCCAATCTGCACTATTAGCAAAGCACTTTTCTGCCTTTTTTGTTCTGTTTTGTTCACTCCCTACTGGACACAGCTGACACGTTGTTTACAGGTGAACCTAATGGCAACATTACCCTCAGCATTTGTTGGAGACTGGAGGGTTGTACGAACTGGCCGTCTAGCTAGATACCTCACAAGAAGCATTGCTATCAAATTTAACCCTTGCCCCCTTTTAATTTGCCTGCTTAGAATCCTTGGTACCCTTAACATTCCTTTCTTAAAGAAATCCATGTGTTGAAATCTGCAATCTTCTGATCAAAATAAAGGTTAATAGTACTTAAATGGAGTTAAACAGACTGGAAATGTGTATTCTCTGATTCACTGCAAAAACAAAAATAGGGGGAACAGCAAGGAAATAGGAAGGTGACAATAGTCAGATGTAAAAATAATAATGACAAACACGATGAAACAGATGTTCATATTGTAAGAGTATGCTGCTTCTTTCATTTGCTGTTTTATTTTAAGGATTTATAAATTTTTGCATTTTTTCTCAGTAACGTTCTCCATATACACTCCTCAAAAAGACATCTACATCTCTCTTTCCTCTTCAGTTTATTTAATTTAGGACTTCCACCCTTTGATGAGGAGCAGCATTTGATTTTTATTTCTCCACGTTTTGTTTTGGTCTGAGGAAAAAGGGAAGTAGAACTTTAAAAAGTAAAAGAGAAACTCCATGAAATTTTATCAAGCATGAAATGGCGTTTAAGCAAAACAGGCGGATTGCTGAAGCAAATGCTTCAGTTAGGAAGGAAATGCCATTGACTTTATTACAGCTGCCTAATGTTTTCCACGAACTGCAGAAAATAATTCATTGTATCTTAGTGACCTACAATAACAGCTGACTGCTTGCACTTGGTGGAAATGTGATTTGTGCCTACATTTTTTTCTTTTTTAACTATTTCAAGTTTCAGCATTTGGGCCTGCAGAGTTTCAGGAATTCCCTTTGCATTTAGTGAGAAGACTTGGTGTGAACCATTTGGCTGAGAATTGGCCTTTGGTGAACAAGACTGTGTATTTCAATGCAACGTTCTTTTTGCTGACTTGGGAATATATCGGTGTGGTCTCGTTTTGTTGCACCTTTTGCAATGCACTGGAAATGTACCCTTTTTCTTTTCTGAACCACCATATTGTTGTATCCTCCACTTAACTGTGCAGTATTTGTAATGCAGCATTTCTAGAAAACACACACACACACACACACACACACACACACATATGCATAATAAGTCAAAAGTATCATAGTGCACTGATATTCTGTGAAGTTCAAGTAAATACACCCAGAGTGTCTCAGTCTGGCAAACAGGTACCAAACAGAACAAGACATGCTTGACATAAGCATCATGTGAATGCAAGAAGAGCCTGCTGGATCAGGCTAATGGTCCATCTAGTCCAGCTTCCTGTTCTCACAGTGGCCAACCCAGATGCCTTTGAGAAACCTCCATGAAGAACATGAATGCAACAACACTCTGCCTGCCTGACTACATTATTACATGAGCACTGTTCCACAGCATTTGATATTTTCATTTACATACATTCATTCGATATAAGATGGGTTTATGAAGGAATTCTATATCCTCCCACCACGCTGACGAAGAATTCTACGAAACAGTAGTCAATATCTGGAATCACTGTTCAGTGTTGGACATCATATTTGCTGAATACACAAAGCTTCACAGCTTGTCTTTCATTGTACGAAGTCTGGTACCTCACTTCATTTAAAGATTTTCAGAGAATTTGAGACTAAAGATTTCATTTTGTACTTGTTATGGTTTGAAGGGATTCTATAAAGATTGTCTATTGCGTATGTACATGGTCATCGTGTTGCCTAGACATTGCTGACGTTCTCTTTGCAACACAGGGGTTTGCTTGGTTACTACTTACTACCTGCAACTCCCAGCAACTTATATTCAGAGCCATGCTGGCTGTGATGGTGGACCTAGAACCTAGTGGCTAGAGTCATCATTGACAGCCCTGTCCTCCACTGAGTTTAATCCCCCTCTTAAAGCCACCCAAGCTGGTGGCCATCATTGCCTCCTAAGGGAGCAGGTTCCATAATTTAACTAGGTGCTCCATGAAGAAGTACATTACTTCCTTTCATCTGTTCTGGATCTGCCAACAATCAGCTTCCATAGATGCCCACAGGTTCTAGTTATGAGAAAAGGAGAAAAACTCGGTATGTGAGGCAGCATGCACACCATACATATTGTTAGGAAGGTTGTGTGGCACACACACCCCAATCTCTGCCGAGCAGTAGCAAGATCCCAGGGGTTCCAGGAGCTCACTCAGGGTTGCATTTGCATTGGGAATCAAGACATGATGGGGACTGCTGTGTTTTTTAAGAAGTATTGTTTACACTGAAAGCTTTCAATGGAGGAAAGTGCAGAGTTTACAGCGTTCACATCTCAACAGGGGCTTGTCCCTCCCAGAGCAGTGCAGCATTGGAGTTCAAGGCATCCTACACACCGTTCCTGTGCCCCTGTCCCAGCCTGTCAATATGGTTCTGACCCGCATGGTCTCTGCCTTGAATTCTGCCCCTTCCTTTCTCCTTCCCAAGAACCTTTGCTAAGCAGGTACTTCTCTTCTCCAAAAGTCTCTGTTTTAAAAGAGACACATTTTTTGCTGTGTGGCAAAACACACACACACACACACACACACACACTCTGCCCCGGTAATCTTGGCAACCCTCGTTTTTTGCACAGATCCAAGGAATCTTTCTTTGATGTGTTGATGACTGACCATTGTTTCTCAGTGGCTTGCACTCCGCTAGCCCAGCCTGGCTAGTTTGCATAGGGTAAACCCAGGAATTTCCGTGTTTGGCAGAGTTCAGGAGAACTGCTGCAGCTGCTTGTATTTTCCCTTCAATTACCCCCCCCCCCGGTATTAGTAAAATTACTAACATTCACTAACTTCCTAGAATTATGAGCACCTTTGCACCCCCAGACTCTGGCACCCCAGATCTATAACAATATAAAGCACATGTAAAACACATGACCTCTGTCAAAAAATACCAGAAATTGTAGGGGTTGGGTGTTGGGAATTGTAGCTCTGTGAGGGGTAAAGTACAGTTCCCAGGATTCTTTGGGGGAAAGTCATGTGCTTTAAATGAATGCTGTGTGACCTTCATGTGCAGCAATAGTGTATATTCAATAACGAACGTAGAAAGCAACCAAATAAATGTCTACCACATGTAATAAGGGGATGACAAAAGCACCTTAAAGACACAACAATTGTAGCACTTTTGTAAAGCCAGAGTTCAAAATAATAAACTATATACTGGGCTGTATTTTCTTGGGTAGAGAATCACACCCTTAGGAGGGCTCACTACAATAGTATATCATTGTTTTACACTTAGCTGCTTGTTGTACATATTCACCATGTGTTACAAATTACCAGTGGTATGATGGCAATTGCTTGGAATGGGAATTTCATTTATTATGTGTCCCTGTTGGGGACTAAGCACAAAACAGGAACCCCAGAAATGTTTTCTGCAGTCTTAAATGTATTGAGCAGAGTGGGGAACTTGTGGCCCTCCAGTTGCTGCTTGACATCCCATGATAGAAATAATAGAATTGTAGAGTTGAAAGGGATCCTGACGATCATCTAGTCCAACCCCCTACAATGCAGGAATATGCAGCTGTCCCTTATGGGGATTGAACCTGCAACCTTGGCATTATCAGCACCATGCTCTAACCAACTAAGCTATCCAGGCTGACCCCTGACCGTTGGCTATTCTGATGGGAGCTGGAGCCCATTAACATCTGGAGGACTGATCTGTACAATGGTTTGCAATACTTGTGGCGTTTTAAATAAATAAATAAATAAATAAATAAATGAATAAATATAATATAAAAACCGCATGGAGGGCGACAGGTTCTCCACTCCTAGTTAGACTAATAGGGTTCCATTGAGTTCAGTGAGACTACTCTGATGTCTCATCTGTCTCCTGAGAAATCTCTATGTGGGACAAGAAGCTACAGTTAGAACTGGATATGGAACAACTGATTGGTTCAAAATTGGGAAAGGAGTACGGCAAGGCTGTATATTGTCTCCCTGCTTATTTAACTTATATGCAGAATTCATCATGCGAAAGACTGGACTGGATGAATCCCAAACCGGAATTAAGATTGCCGGAAGAAATATCAACAACCTCAGATATGCAGATGACACAACCCTGATGGCAGAAAGTGAGGAGGAATTAAAGAACCTTTTAATGGGGGTGAAAGAGGAGAATGCAAAATATGGTCTGAAGCTCAACATAAAAAAACTAAGATCATGGGCACTGGTCCCATCACCTCCTGGCAAATAGAAGGGGAAGAAATGGAGGCAGTGAGAGATTTTACTTTCTTGGGTTCCATGATCACTGCAGATGGTGATTGCAGGCATGAAATTAAAAAACGCCTGCTTCTTGGGAGAAAAGCAATGACAAACCTAGACAGCATCTTAAAAAGCAGAGACATCGCCTTGCCGATAAAAGTCTGTATTGTTAAAGCTATGGTTTTCCCATCAGTGATGTACGGAAGTAAGAGCTAGACCATAAAGAAGGCTGATCGCCGAAGAATTGATGCTTTTGAATTATGGTGCTGGAGGAGAATCTTGAGAGTCCCATGGACTGCAAGAAGATCAAATCTATCCATTCTTAAGGAAATCAGCCCTGAGTGCTTACTGGAAGGACAGATCCTGAAGCTGAGGCTCCAATACTTTGGCCACCTCGTGAGAAGAGAAGACTCCCTGGAAAAGACCCTGATGTTGGGAAAGATGGGGCACAAGGAGAAGGGGACGACAGAGGATGAGATGGCTGGACAGTGTTCTCGAAGCTACCAACATGAGTTTGACCAAACTGCGGGAGGCAGTGGAAGACAGGAGTGCCTGGCGTGCTCTGGTTGATGGGGTCACAAAGAGTCAGACACAACTAAATGACTAAACAACAACAACAACAATCTGATGTAGAAGAGCTGAAGTGTAAAAACCAAAATGATTTCCAGAATGAAAAAAAAGGAGAAGTGCCATCTCATTCTCTTTTGGCTCAATAAATGCTAACCATCACACTAAGTATCTTGGAAGAAGTCTTTTATCTACCCTTATATGGAATGCAGGCCAACAATGGAAAATCTCTAGATAAGGAATGCGTCATGCCACACTAAGCTTATGTAGTACAAAGTTTAGCTTAGAAAAAGCATAATAGGCAATCCTCTTTTTCTCTCCTGCTTAATATGAAAGGAAATCACAAGGCCTGTGGATTTAAGGTGGATGCATGTGAATTTAATGCCCACGAAAAAACTGTTGATTTGTGGTATGTGAATTTTTAACACTGCAAAAAGAAGCGAACGTCAACACTCCCAATTTTTTCACTTTCACATTCTTCAATGAATTATACAGGCATACAGGAATGCAAGGCTTGCTATACATGTTCAGACCATCTTGTCTTCAGTCATGTACCCAACAGTAGCCAGAATCAGATTCTTTTGAATGTAAAACACCCACCAATGACTATTATGCAATTGCATGCCTCGTTCACAGCCATATTTAGTTGTTGGCTTCTCTCCAGAAGCATTTGTGTTGAAGGTGGAGATGCCCTAAAAGAGTTTATACTAGTCGAGTTAAACAGAAGACATTTCTGTGATTCATAGACAAATAGTTAAACCCTTTCAATGAACAAATCCTATCAAGCTACTGGGCCTTGGGAGTCTTGTAGTAGCAGGTTCCATGCATCTTAAGAAACCACATTTCCCCCCATTGATATGAAGCTTCCACACCACAACAGAGAGCTAATCCTAATCATGTCTACTCCAAAGGAAATCCTGCTATATTCAGTGGGGCTTTCCCCCAAGTAAGTGGAGGAAGGATTGCTTCCTCAGTCTCTAGAATTAAACAAAAGCCACAATCCAAAGCACACACATAATCCAGAGTCCCTTTCAGACATTTTCCAAGCATACAGTAGATGTGTGGAGCTGGGTGTAGTGAGACCATTCATGCTGTCCCCATCCCTCATTCTCTGCTGACCCCACCCCAATCGTCGGCCATAAGTCTGAAAGGGTAAACTAAATGCATGTACAGCTCTACACACATAGGCACCCATTTTCAGTCTTTTGGCTCTATGCAGAGAAGTCAGAGGTGAGTGGCAGCCCTGCTCATGCTCCTCCACATATTCACTCTATTTTAATTTATTTATGAAATCAGAATTCAGTTACAAATCTCTTCTGGAATGTGTCTCTCTGTGTGTGTGTGTAGGCACCAATAGTTCAACAGGGAGGGGGCCTGGAAGGGAGTTTCATAAAGTTGGGCCCACAATACTGAACACACAGCTCCTGGTGGAGAGGAGCCATGCATCCAAGCCATGGGGGACCAGCAACCGCGAGTCCTTCAAAGATCTGAGTGATTGGGCAGGGTTATAAAGGAGTGAGTGGTTCTGGAAGTATCTTGGACCCACACTGTTAAGGGTCTTGTAATTTGATACAAGAACAATATGTGCAGAAAAGGTCTGAAGGGTTTCTTCGTCTTCTGGTAAACAATGCTGTTTCCTGCAATGCAATTTAGAGATGCTTATCAGTGCCCTACATCAACGTTGTTTTTCTTCCCAAACTTGCTGTGCAGGGCACCTTGTATGGATTCCCTGCATACTACAGGGGGATTGTAAGGTTCACGATCAGTTCACACGGAGTACTAGCTGGGAGACATGGGCACTTCACCTTCCACCCTATGTGAAGCAAGAGGCAGAACCTACCTGTGAACTGCGAGCAAGTCTCTTTCAGGAATGCTTTCCCTCCATTCTCAGTGCAGATATCTTCCATGATACTGTAAAGTACCCAAGGTGTACCAGAAGACAGTGTGAAAATATCTGCATTAGACAGCTTAAAGACCAACTGATTTCTTATATCCTTTTCCAATCAATGAGGTCTTTGGGGGAACCATTGTTAGTTGTTCCACATGGCTCATATCCACAAGGAGCCACACATGCAGTATTGTGGGCTTAATGTTGTGAAAACTCCCTCCCAGCTGAAACCAGCCAGGCCCCCTCCCTGTTGAACTTTTGGCATTTAATGAAAACTTATTTTATTTCAGCAGACATTTAAAGTTAAGCACAAGGAGAAGGGGACGACAGAGGACAAGATGGTTGGATAGTGTTCTCGAAGCTACCAGCATGAGTTTGACCAAACTGTGGGAGGCAGTGGAAGACAGGAGTGCCTGGCGTGCTCTGGTCCATGGGGTCACGAAGAGTCGGACACGACTAAACGACTAAACAACAACAAATTTCTGATTTTATGGTTATTTCTAATTGATTTTTTTTTACTGCATTTCTTTTTTAATCACACACTGGACACCACTTAAAAATGATTAAGTTATATATAAATTGTTGAAATAAAAGGATAGGGACAGGCTGTGGGCAAAGTAGATAAGAATTCCTAACTAATCTTCTCAGCAACGTTTGATTTTGAGTTCTTGATATCTGAAAACGTGCAAAATCTTTCTATCGTTCTTTGTTTGTTTGTTTGTTTGTTTGTTTTGATCAGCATGTGTGACACAGCTATCTTGGTACGAAACCATTTATGATGAATGCCAAATCCCTAGCACTTGTTGATACTTCTTCTTTGAGCTACTTCCTGTTCCACTTCATAGTTTGACACTGTCGTTGCTGTTAAAGCTGCACCTGAACAAGATCATTATATATCAGCTTCTATCATGTCTACTTTGTCCCTTGTTGGTGCAAAGCACTTTCTTAGAACTGAGCTATGAGCCATCTGCTCCCTTGCCGAGAGTCTGACGCTGGCTGTTAAATTTCTCCAGTACCAGTGCAGAGAAGTTTACCATACTTTGATGACAGTCAAAAGGCAGGACATTTCTGCCAAAAGGAATTTCAAAAAGCCGTGGCTTTAGAACCGCAAACTATCTCTCAGAAGGCTGCCTTTTATGTGGAGCAAAGGTTTAATGCTTAATCACCTGCCAGTGAGCATAGTATCTAAATATTGTCTACCACACCGGTATATGACAGTCCCTTATTTATATTTGGACTGTATCCATGCAGACATTCCTGGAACGGTTATAGGCAGTGGTTATTTTCTCTTTATTTCATATAAAAGACTGCTCTGTATATATATCTTGCTGGAATTTGTGCAGGAAAACGATCCCTAGAATGGTGAGACAGCTCAGCTGCAAATTGATCCTGAACCAGTTCCAGAGTTTCCACAACACTAAGTGCTGGAGCCAGGCGAGAGTCCAGAGAAGAATCTTTGCTTATGACTGGCCAGGAAGCCCAGCCGCAGCCATTAAAAAAAAAAAAGGTAAATTAAATGCATTCCAGTGGTTGGCATCTCAGCCCATGCTTGCCAGGCACACCCACTCTGTGGCTCTGGGTACTGGCTGCAGTTCTAGAACATAGTGAGGATAAGGCCAAATAACCACTAACCATAGAAGTCGGAGCCAAGTTACCGTATATGGTCAAGTGCCAATTTGCTTGTGCTCCTGAAATATGGCATTTTACATAGGAATTGTTCTTATTTATGCAATCCAAACAACCTCTTGCAGAGATATGTTCATATTTGTCAATGCAGCATACCGTGTGTGTGTGTGTGTGTGTGTGTGTGTGTGTGGAGGTGGGGGGTTGATGGAAGCAAAGCTACTTGTGCAGACAAGCAGGCACACCTTATAGCACTTTAAAGGATCTATAACTTCAGTTCATGTCTTCCTCCTTTCAAAAAAAAAAGACAACTCTTC